AACTCCTCCCTTGTTCACTTCTTTTAGCATAAAATACAACAGTAAATTAATACTCTTAAATTGAATGTTAAGGGAAAAAAATTTAAAGCCCCACATGACCAGTGCAGAATTTCCCAGGTTTTTATTTACTCATTTTAAAGGGGAAAAACTGTTAAAAAATTATCAGTGCTGGTGGACCAATTTATTGTATGAGCACAAATGATCATGTTATGTAGAAGTATTTAAATTTAGAACACTAAAACAATGACAACATCACAAAAAAAAAAAGGCTAAGTTCACAACTGGTTATTGTCTAGTTTTGCTTAAAAAAGATTCCAGTTCTGGATTTTTCATTATTATTATTATTATTATTATTATTATTATTATTATTATTATTATGGTTTTTTGTTAATGGTATAGGAGAAAAATAAGATAGAATTTACAGAATCAGTGCAAGCATCAAGATTGCTTGATATTATTTTTAAGCAAACAGAGCACAAAAGCAATCCTTTAACCATCTACTAACCTCAACTTGATTTGCATTGAAAAACAGGTAGAGCATAGTAGTTGAGGCTTGTGCTTCGTAAAAGCAAAAGAAATACGTGGCAGTTGCAAAGCATTCTTAACCTCCAGTGATTTATTGGCCCTCAGCCAAGTTATCAGGGGAATCTAATTCTTCTTTATTATTCAAATAAACCACATTTGGCACCATGGTTCCTTTTCAGAATAGCTTCACAAATAGAATGAGTACTGTCATTTATTTGACCTTGTACTTGTGTGCTGTAGCTATAATTTTATTTGCTATTTCATAGAACAAATGCACAAAAAGCCAAAATAAGGAAATATATTATGCTACTGGTAGCAGAGTACACACGTAATATACCTGTTGGTTTTGCCTGCTTTATTTTCAAATAGATAAATTCTCAAAATTTTATTCTTGTTTTCTTCCTTTTTCATCTCTATTATCTATCTCTTATTATGCCAGCAGCTGCACTGTTCATTTTTAGTGAGCTCTCTTTTCAACAGGCCAATCTGCTCTGTGTCCTGGGCAAGCAGGAGCAAAGGTAGGAAATATTTTACTTTAAGATGTGGACCTCACAGGCAGGAAACAATGCATACCATCCTTGCTGAGTACAACTATTGTAAGAGGTGATTAAGAACTTGTTTCCTGAAAGCAAAAGCATCCTAGCCAGATTATCAGCTCATAATATTTTCTATTGAACCTGAAACATCATATGTCAGGCAATTTTATCCTTTCTGGATAACACATTTTTATTCTATCTGTTTCTGGATAGACTTTTCTCCCTTTTTGTTACTATTTATGTTTCAGCATATGTTTGGTCCAAGTCTCAAGCACAGACATTTTCAAGAGAATTGAAACCTGTTAGGGAAGCACTCACACTGACTTCTAAGTGCTGGAAGGAGCAATTTAAATGCCTCTTCAGTGGTTAGCCATTTTCTTTTGAAATCTCATCCCATTTCTAAAAGGAAATCAGGGACTAAGGGTTTCAAAGATGGAAGTTACCCTGATATCAAAAACTACCTACTGACTTGGAAAATGCATGGGACTAGATACATATGAAGAACAACATCACTACAGAGATCCAGAGGAAAAAGATGTTTGTATTGGCTACACCACCACAGATCATGTTGTCCAACTCAGAGATGAAATCCTGGCCAAACTGCACATTTCTAGACATTTCTGGCTCTTTCAACAAATACTACAGTTCATGAAAGAACTGTAAAGTATGTTCAACTATTTCAGCTTGCCTCAAGTACAACTGAGCTATGACAGTTAACATAGACTAAAGCCAATATACATAGACCCTTTAACTGGGAGATTGTTGGTCCATTTCTCTTGCTTTGGCTCTTTACCTTTCTCACTCATTATTTTCAGCTAACTCTCTTTTCCTAAACTTTGAAATGTATCTCTGCTCTGTGAAACTGATCTGATTGTAATTCCACAGTGTGGTCTGAAATATACATCTGCCAAACTAGCTTAAAATTCTTGGTTAGCACTAGTGGGAAGATAAATTATACAAAAAAAAAAGAAATTCAAAATATATATGTCCATGGGTGTCTACATATAAGTTATACTCATTTTAATGTCGAAAGGGCATTTATTGCAATTTTTGTTTACTGTTCAACTATACTGTTACTTTTGCCAGGGGTAACTTTATTATTATAATTTTCAGGCTACCTTCCAAGATATTGTTTTATCAGATTTGTTTACTATTAGTCCTGCAGCTATCTTAGAACATTGGCATCCATTTGTTTTGCACCACTGGCTCTAAACGTTCAGAAAAGAGTAAAATTGACTACCATAACTGTTGCCACCTGCTGAGATTCAATACAAGAACTATTTTCCTTTATCTAGGAGACATGAGATTTTGCTTTGCAAATATAAAATATATTTTACATTATTTCTATGCATGTTAGTTAAAAAATGAAAACTAAAAAAACCCAACAAAACAACACCAAACAAGGATGAAGTCTTGGAGAAATAATTTGACCAGAAATTAAGAATCCAAAGGCAGTACTTGATGAAGCAATTTCAAATAATAATGTACATTTTAATGCCTTTAGGTGCAACACTGCCTGGAGGTTCTATATAAATATAAAGTTTTGGAGTATCAGCATTGGGTATATCAATGTTTACGTGCAGTGCAAGAAATACAAAACCACATGTATTACATAGCACCAACCCAGAAATTCAGAATTCATGAGAATTTTAAGTTTGGTGTGGTGAAAACTGTAGCATTTCCATATATATTTGAAAAATGCTTCTAGGGATAGACTTGCTAATAGTTTTAGCAACTAATAAGCTTTGACTAGTGATTTAGTAGGAAGTAGCTACAGCGCTCCTTTTCAAATTATTAAGAGACTAGCAGTATAATGCTGTACCAAGAGAACAATATATCAAAAATATATAAATGTTGTAGGTCTTAGAACTACCAAATGTCTCCATAAAGACAGAAGAGAAGAAAAGCAAAAATATCAGATATTTTAGTAAATCTCAGTAGGTTTAATTTATTATTCTATAAAAAACAACAGCACTGGTTCTGATTTTTGGTAGTTTTTCCATCAGTACTTTCAGTGGTGAACACATGGAAATATTTGCCCTGATATTTCCAATACTCTAACAGGCAAGGACAATTGCTTCATTTATCTGAACCCTTTCTTGAAATGTATATGGATCAAGATGGAGTGTAAAGTCTTTACAACATGATGTGAGTTCAGAGCAAGGAGAGATTTATCAACTCTATAGTTTGAAAGACAGTGGCAGAAAATGCTTTTAACAAGAGACTAACATAGGGTTAAAGCCAAATTTTTCTTGAACAGATGATATTTCAGATGGCCACACTATTCCAGATGCATCAATTTCCTTGAAAATCCAATCCATATATGTGCATATGCTGTGCTGGCAGGAGGACTGACTGAAATGGCCAAAACCCAAGAGCTAATATTCTTTTGGCCAGAATAATGCAATTATTATTTTCCTAGCTATCAGTCTAAGCATACAGAGCCATCTGTTATGCAAAGCAAACATACACATCTCAATTACAGAAAATGCAGTTGCCTTGACAGAATTTGGATTACACCACTAACCAGGGCTGTAAAATTTGTTTTAAGCTAGTGTATAATGGATGCCTTTCAGGAGTTTCCTAATTAGCATTTACCTGCTTAAACTAATTATCCATCCTTCTTCTTTACTGGCTTATTAGACTTTGTTGGATACTATGCCTAAACCAGATTAATATGAACATAAGACAATAATAAACATTAAAGTTCCAATTCTTTACTGTATTAGCAACATGGTGGTGCACCAATTTCAAAATGTGAGATTCTTGATACTAACTCCCAAACAGATTAAATCCGGGATTAAAGTCTATTACAAAACGAGGGACTTTAATGAGAGACAAGAATACTGATATGAGCTAGAAACAGCTCTTGTTTCCATTTCTATCATTGGGTTTGCCAAAGCCAGCACAAAATAACAATTACTGAACTTATTACAGCCAATTGCTTGCATATTCTTTGAGGACTTAATGAGCCCTATTCATATTCTCTCCTGATAATATTTAAAATTAGTCTATTTTGGTCACCAAATATTAATATTTCCCATTTAATTGTTGGTGGGGTACAGCAAAACTGACAGTAAGTAGCCTATGGAAATAGTTGCTTCCTCATAGCTGTGTGGGTCCCAATTTAAAGTAGCTGAAATAAGTATTATTTCAGTTTTTCTTTTCCTCCTCAGGATAACTGCAGTAGAAGTAGATGGTTTCTCTCTAAAAATCATCATGCAAAATATTTCTGCTTCATTTCTAAGTGAAAGCAGAAAGAAGCTATCCTGCCTAAACATTTCTGAATGCTGCAGGATTAGGAATAAGAATTAACAACTAACTTTTGCCCCACTTCTGCCCTGCCTTTTAATCTTTGAAAAACAGTTGTCAGCAATTAAATGAAAAAAAAAAAAATCTCAAACCAACCCCCCCCCCCCCCCCCCCAAATTACTATATTTTACAAATTCATCTTTTCATATTAGTGAGCATTGGTGAAAGCATCAAAATGTGTCCTTGTTGGAACCCTCCCTGCAAGACATTTTAATGGCCTCTTTCAGCATTTCTTGACTCCAAATGACTCCCTGTCATTGTGTCAGCTCCCTGGATAATGCAGGGTACTCCATAAACATCCAGTAATAGGACACAAGGGAAGTACTATTAGAGTGTCCCTTTCCTATCAGGTATAGAGGTTTAAAGTTCAAAACAACTGAGAAAAGAAACTTCATTTGTTCTCAATAAATTAATAATGATCCTTTGTGGCAAAAACTTTTCTTACACATCTCAACATTCAATACTATAGACACATTTTTCAGTTGTGTCTCAGGATGAACAGGATGCACCTTAGACAGCTTATAATCCATGGAAAACACAGAAACCAAATTATTATTTGCTTAATAATAATAAACAGAAGAATGCATCATACACAGTTATGTTCTAGAATTGAAAGCGTGTACTTACTTGGGACAGGCCTAAATAGATGGAGACGGTTTCTGAAATGTACAAAAATTTTCCTTCTTGATTTAGTGCAAATACAAATCCATCGAGGGACTACAGAATAAGAGGGGAAAAAAGAGTTAATAGATTATTAAAGAATTCCAAACTACAAATAGAAATAGATTCAAATAAACGCATCACAGAATAAACTGAGGAAAATATTCTGACTTTTGTGAGAGTGGTTTTAATTTGAACCCTTAAGACAATTCCTTTGTATTCTGTCTACATATTAATAAACATCATATGAGTATATTACTAAGTCCAAACTGATGAGTATATTACTAATTTATTTTACTGCCATGCTTATATCTGCCATGTACTGTATAAAATTTATATCATTTGTTTGATAGAAGAAATGTAAAAAAAATAAAATGTTCATTATTTTTTTCATGAAGAAATAAATAAGGAAAACACATAACCTTCCAATTGAGCAGTGTATATAAAAAAATCACCCCCCATCGCTCAGAATCAAAGCAGAGAATTTCCATTTCCAAAAATTCAAAAGGAGAAAATAAAATCCTGCCATCACTCAAATCACTGTGGACCTCAATAATTTGTAAATTAATTGAGGATTATACACACACACACACACACGCATGCATATACCCACACACCATTTTCTTTTTGTGAGACAACAAAGCCAATCAGCAGATTACTGTCAAATATGTTTACAGCTTAGGTCTCTAGAAATGCTATGAATTTCATCCTTTTGGTGTAAAAGTCTAGATCAGATTTTTCTTTGACAGGTTCAAGTCTTTGGATGTGGTTTCCATTTCAACTGCAAAAACCAAAATACAATTGCAGCGATTAATGTGCACCTTTTGAAACATGAGTGCAGTTAATAAACAGAGGACTATATTCTAAACTGACACAGGGTAAATCACTGCACATCCAGAAGGGAGTATATCTCTATCAATAAGAGTAAATCTTTATTAGGAAGAAACTACCTTCATACACCATCAATGTCTTTACCGTTTTTCCTTTTATGAGGATAATTTTTGGCAAACAATCACAGACTATTACAAAAGTAAAATGACAAAATTCCAGAAATTAGAAATGCTAAAACAGCTCAGAAAGTATGAAACAGCTCAAATTTTGGGAGGACCAAGGAAAAATCCCAAAAATCCTATCCCAAATATCCCCTTGTGATAAAAGAACATGTAAAGAAAATATTAACTATAGCATTTAAAAGATTAGCCTAGTTTTGGAAGGAAAAAGCACATAAAAAACCACATCTTTGATGGAGATACATAATGAAAAAATCATGTAACCCCTCTTTTGCAAATACACAACAGTGATTTCTGAGGGATTTTATTTTTATTTTTCTGCTTCTTGACTAATTTCTAACCGGCTGCTAGTCAAAAGCTGTCTTTGGCAAAAGTTCACCCCTCTCTGATGTAGTAGGTGGTGGAATTAGTGCAAAATCTGAGTTTTCTAAAAATAATGGACCGCATATTGGAAAACAAACCCTCACTAAAGACACTGCATTAAAAAAGACTCTAATTTATATTTATGAATTAATAAAAATGTAAATCTGCATGGATCTCCTTCATGTAAAAACATTTATATTATGCAAGTAATTTATGGCCTCTTATAAATCATCATAATTTCTTTCTCATATTATTAACATCACTTCCTTGAATTTTTAACATCAATAACAGGTGGAATATTTGGAACAGTGAAGTTCAAACTTAGACCAATACCAGGACAATCAAAACCTTTGCACATCTGATCTCTCACTATGTACAATCTCTTACTCAGAAAAGTAAATCTTTACAGGTCTTAGTTAAAGTATTCCTGATTCTCTGTCCTGTGTTCCTTTGAGGAAACTGGCTTAACCCTCTGTTGAACTGAGAACCGTGACACTGTCTCCCTGGACCCCCATACAGAACTCCATTCTCCACCAAGAAGAAGAAATTGTCACACTGACTCAGACTAAATGCCTATGAGCAGCAGTCAGTTTCCCTGGGTCTGACAGTATGTACAGAGATGCTTCAGAACAGTGGAATGTCCATACTGGCAATGACAAGCCCACCAGAGGTTTATTACAAACCTGTTCTTAGCAGTTGGCATGACTGTGATACCTTCCTTTCTTGAGGAAAGGTGTTTCATAGGTTATTTGTGTATCATATAAAAACAACCTTCCTTTTCTCAGTTTTTTATATAGCTTTTTGTGTGGCCCCTTTGCTCTGTTACTTGAGAGAATGACATAAAGTTTAAGCACATTTATCATCTGGTCTGCTTAGCACACTGCATTAGTGTGTAATTGTCTGACATATCTGGGCAATTTTTTCTAAGAACCAGAAAAAATAATTCTCTGAGTCACTGATGTCTTTTCTGCTTCTTTTATGCACATCATTTTATTTAGGAATTCAGACTTAATGAAACAAAAATTTGAGGAATGCTTTGAGTATTGACTAGGCAGAAATGTTTATTCAGTGTAGTTTTGAAATTGTCTGACACCAGTTTTGCTGGAAAAAAATATAAACAAACAAACAATCTCTAGCCAATATAGCTGTTCAAAGAAATTTCAGCCTCCATGGCTAAAGTTTGCAAGTCATCAGCAACTGGAAGGGTGTTGAAGTGAGAAGTGTTAGTCATCTTAAGCACTTGCTACTTTTCCTTGCCATTAACTCAGATTCTCTCCTTTCCTTTAAATAGTCTTACTTTATTACCTTTACTTGTTTAGTCTTTTTTTCTCTTTTTCTCTGGAAGAATATTGCCTACTTTTGCACCCAAGTTTTACAGGGGAGGTAACTGAGGAGGCACCACCAAAGGACTGGCAGGGCCAACGCAGTACACCAACACCTTTGGATGTGATTAGTCACTTCCTGTGACATAAAATTTGTTAGTTAAGCCAGCTGAGACTAATGAGTCATGGTCATTCTTTCTCAATTTCTTTTTCCACTTCTCTGAAGCTAAGGTTATGTGCAACTCCTGGCCAAATTCAGCATTTTGTTTAATAGAATAAAATGAGGAAGTTTATATTTAATTGTATTTTGAAAGAACCACTGATTAACAGCTAATGGACACCTAACTCCTTTCATGCCCAAAATAGAAAAGACCTTAAAACAAAAGCTCCAAGTACTAAGCTCAAGTTCCAACACCTAAGAAAATGACAATAAAACTAGGAAGAGAAATAGCCATCTTCCAATGCAAGGCAGTTCCTCCCACCAGTATGAAAGGGCTGAGACGGACCACTTTTGTGACAATGTTGTTGTTCCTTTTACAGGTCAAACAGTAGTTCTGAAGGACTGCCTCATTCGTTATTCATAGGTATTATTTATGAATATTTATTATTTAAGTAATGCGTGTTGAAATTTTTCAATTTTTCATAAAGCGTATGTCCTTTGTGCATGCCAAGAGAGCAGCAGACTTCAGAGAAGGTGCAAGGCAACATAACACAGGTTATATTATATACTGGAGAAGAGTATGTGATACCACTGGATACTACATATTCACAAACAATTCTGTTTTAATGAGAAATATCTGGAAGTATTATTCATATTGTTTATGTATAAGTAAGGACAAAATAAATGAGAGAATGGTAGTGGATTGAATCAGCTTTCAGATATCTATTTTGACAGGAGGACCACAGTGCTTTCCAGACAGAATTTCTGAACAGTTTCAATGTAGTTCACAGGCAGAAGGATTTCTGTTCTGGACATTTCAGAGTTAACTATAATATAAAAATAGAGTCTGGAAAGGTAACTGGGTTTTTGTAATGTTCTATTTTCATCGAAGGAGAGACCATGAATACAAGAAAATTTTCTTGACTTAATTTCGCTCTTTTATTTTTTAAAGTGAACGAAGTTGACTGTCATAAACCTACTCCTATCTCTTCTAGTGTGGCAGCTGAGAAAGGGTCAGGGTGACCCCAAATGCCAATTTTGAGCACAATCCAATTTAAGGTAGACTGGCAACTTCTTGTTTAAAACTACACTTACTGGCTTTATGCAAAATGTGATTAAAGCTGAAGCTCTCTATTACTTTTGATTTCAGAAAACCATTATGTATTATGCTGTTTCAATCACCACAGGCTACTTTTTAATTTATTTTTTTTTAACTGCCCCACTGTTTTCAACAGGCGCCAATTAAGATTCTGGGGTCAAAGGGTTAATTACATCTTCTTACCCACTATGTAGAATTTTCTGATTATTAACCAAGGTTGGATTAAGATGAAAAAGAACCGACACAAATGTTAATGCTTGCCCCTCCTCAAGAAGATTTATCATAATACCATGCTGAAATCTATATGCTCTCTTCAAAGCTGTTAAAGAATGAAATCTTGAAGGGAACACTAAAATAAATGCTTTAAAGACATGCAACTATCTGATTTATTGAACCAGTTTTCTTTTTCCTGAAAACTGTTCTAAATTAGCCAGGCAGGACTGATACAAGTTTTTCTTTGTCACATACGTACGAGCAAGTCAATGTGGTAGACACGAAGAAAGTGAGACTCAGATTTAAAACTCACTAGCTACAGCACCCCAGAATAATAATACAAATTATTATAATTTATATCCTCTGACATCAGAATAATACAAAAATGTAAAGCACAGGTTTTTAACCCAAAATACTCACTGCCTTTTACAGTATTTGAAGCATAGTGAGGTTATTTCCTTTTAAGATATGAAACCAAGTGTACCACTTTGACCGAATATGCACTTATGTATAATGCATCATAGTAAATGGATTTATATTTGTCAGAGGAATTTTGTCCCAGCCATTTTTGCATATTCCCACTACAGGCAAATTTAATTCACTGGAGTCTTACTACGGTGTCCTTCTGGAGAATATCCTCATATTTCACACTATCTATGAAGTCCCTAATTCTTTCTAGTGTATTCCAATGCTTCAAAAAACCCTGTTACCCTGACCTAAACTCCAGTTAGAGTGAAGAATTACCAGTAGGCTAGGTTATTTTAATGACAGATTATTTTAAACTAAGCCTTCACCATCTGTTCCACCCCCTAATTATGAATGCAAAAAGGACATATTTCACAATTACATCAGTAAAAAGTAAGATATACATGATTTAAATGCATGCATGT